GTACGTTTGTGTTTGCATTAGGTTGGCTTTTTAAATGCTGTTGACAGCCTTGTGACGATATGAGGTGTTCATCAAATAATTCAATGCATACATATAGTGCCAAATGAGATTTTTAAAAACAGCTAGTTTATAAATGTATGCATTTAAAGCGAGGAAAATGTTTCAGTTGTTTATTTTTTAATATATCATTTTTTTTGGAGGCTGTCCTTGATGGCGTGCAACTTTAATCAGGCATACCTGTGCACGCATGCTATTTATATCCCACCGAATAATTGGTTTTTACACCGGTGTTGTGCTTGAATCGATGATCAACAGGCTGTCTTTCTATCTGATTGGTTTCTATGTGATGCTCAGATGTTGTCCTGTTGGAGAGGCTCTGTGCAGCCGCGCACTGTATTGTGTCCTTGTGTGTGTGTGTGTGTGTGTGTGTGTGTGTGTGTGTGTGTGTCAGATTGAGATTTTAGGAATTACAGGAACATCCATAGTTCAGTGTGTGGGACTCGTATAATAACTCTGCTTTTCTTGAAGAGTGTCAGTTGCATCCTTAAAGAACAAAATTGATAGATGCATCCGATCAAATGATGCTGTCTTAGAGGAAAGCTGTGATTTACTGATTGATTTTTATATTTGCGGTCAATCATATTTCTTGGAGCTCAGAGGTCTTGTTTTTTTTTGTCTTCCCCTTTTTATTATGTATTTTGACTGGATGTCACCTTAATATAAGCCTTTAAAAAAAGTCATACTGTCATTTTTAGATAGCGCAGATGGTTTTTCCCCAATCATAAATAATCATAATCAGATCATAAATAACACCCCGCCTCCTCTCTTTTCACAGGGACCGCCCTGTGTGCCGTATGGAAAGTCATTCATTCAAAGTGTGACTTAATGAAATGAGAGGAAGTGTGTGTGTTTGTGTGTGTGAGTGAATGGGCTGCATCAATGCGATGCTTGTGTTCAGAATATGAGCATTGTCATCATTATGGGGTTTCTGGCTGTTCTGTGCAGATGATGTGCATTTCTGAGCCTCACAGGTGTATGTGCTGCTGCTCGCTCCACTCGGCCAGTTCACACTCATTCTGCTCACATTGCACATGCTGGAGGAAAGATTGAAAATAAAATAACATCAGACCTTCAGAGGAAATGTTGGGGTGCATGTCAGCATGAACAAAACATGAACACAGAATAACATCGGCTGTACATTTCACCAGAATGTTTTTAAGAAACGGGAAATGCTAAGAAAGATAAACACCATAAAGAATCTGGTATTTAGACTGATACTTGCACATATAATGTTATACATCCGGGCAGTATTTGTTGGATGGGATAGAAGTCATTTCAAAGAAAAAAGAACTAGACTAAAAACATGACATTGCATTTTCTTGTGGAATGCATTCCAGTCCTTTATTTACAACCTTATTATTTTGAAAGCACTCCATGGAAGAAAAAGCTATTTGAAGAAAGTGCATATGTTTCAGATTTTTTAAAACGTATTGTTACATACATAAATAAATAAATAAATAAAGACAGCACATACATAAAATCTTATTGCTGTATAACAGAAATGACAGTCATCATCTGTGGACAGAAATGTTTTTACACCTAATTTATTTGCAATACATCCAACAAATACTGCCCTGATGTATAAAGTTATACTTACAGTTATTAATATAAACAATGCATACATTTTAAAGCGGTTCTTAGGGTTTTTTTCACCTTTAATTGAGAAGACAGTGAAGGTTACAGACAGGAAAGTATTGGCCGAAGATGGGGAAGGGCTGGCAAAAGGACCTCTAGCCGGTAAACGAACTCTGGTCGCTGTGGTGCTATCTGCGCGCTTAACCACTAGGCTATTGGAGTTGACATGATGCATATATTTTCTATTACAGTAATTAGGTTTATTTATAGTACAATAGTGCTGAATAAAATGTAAATAAGCATACAATTCATTAAAAAGTATCCAGGGAAAAATTATACATATATATTTTTTTTTCGGTAAAACAACTTTTTAAAAAAAAAATAAATAAAATCACTCACCGGCCACATTATTAGGTACACCTTACTAGCACTGGGTTGAACCCAGTCTTCAGAACTTCCTTAATCCTTCGTGGCATGGATTCAACAAGGTACTGGAAACATTCCTCAGAGATTTAGCTCCATATTGACATGAAAGCATCACACAGCTGCTTCACATTTGTCTGCTGCGAATCTCCCGTTCCACCACATTCCAAAGGTGCTCAATTGGATTGGGCGCTGGTGACTGTGGAGGCCATTTGAGTGCAGTGAACTCATTGTCATGTTCAAGAACTCAGTCTGAGATGATTCGTGCTTTATGACATGTTAAATTATTCTGCTGGAAGTAGGACCATCAGAAGATGGTCACTGTGGTCATGAAGGGATGGACATGGTCAGCAACAACACTCAGGTAGGCTGTGGCATTGATTGACACAATGCTTAATTGGTACTAATGGGCCCAAAGTGTGCCAAGAAAATATCTCCCAAACCATTACACCGCCACCAGCCTGAACCATTGATACAAGGCAGGATGGATCCATGTTTTCATGTTGTTGATGCCAAATTGTAACGAGTGGTTATTTAGTGTTGCTGTTAAAACTGTTGCTTTTCTATCAGCTGGAACCAGCCTGGCCATTCTCCTCTGACCTCTGGCATCAACAAGGCATTTGCGCCCACAGAGCTGCTGCTCACTGGATATTTTCTCTTTTGCAGACCATTTTTTGTAAACCCTGGAGAAGGTTGTGTGAGAAAATTCTAGTAGATAAGCAGTTTCTGAAATACTCAGACCAGCCCGTCTGGCACAAACAACCAAGCAACGTTCAAAGTCACTTAAATCACCTTTTTTCCTTATTCTGATGTTCGGTTTGAACTGCAGCAGATCGTCTTGACTATATCTACATACCTAAATGCATTGAGTTGTTGCTATGTGATTTGCTGATTAGAAATTTGTGTCGACGCGTAGTTGGACAGGTGTACCTAATAAAGTGGCCCGGGATTTAAATTTTTTTTTATATATTTATTTTTTAAATAAAATAATGATTATTTATTTATATATTTATTTATCATTCTATATGCAAAACAATTTTTTCATGATCTATAATGTTTTTTTAAGTATTTAAATTCCGGGTGTATTATGAAAAAAAAAAATCTATTAAATATGTCATTAACATTTCTTGCTAGTCTATTATTTCTGTCTGTGGCATTAACTGCGCTGTGAATGCAGTGAGCGGAAGGGAAATGCATGTCGCAATATTTACCAGTAACATCAACATTGTCAGTAGCATGTATCTGTCACTCGGTTATGCTGATACTATTGTCCCACGCTGGTAAGCTAAAACAAGCTGTAAGGAAATATTATAATGGCCCAGCATGAAGAACAAGTACTTACTGTCATATTCCTGTTAAGTACCTTGGCGCTACAGAAAGGATAAGACCCTGAGCTAATTCCTCAAGTCTCCCTTCTGTCGCTCTCTCTGCCTGTCTGCCAATACCACATCACACTGAAGATGTCTGGACATGTCAACAGTTCATTATTAAAGGTCCCCTGAAGGGCCTTCAAATGCGCAGCTGTGTTTCGAAGACATTGAGGAGTTCCGCCCCTTTACAAAATAGCCAGTAGTGTTCTGTTCATATTTCACAGCTCCACCAGTTAGATGCTGTGACACAATTAGCATACTTTTCCTTTCTCAATACAGTATTTGAAAAATGAATTGGCGTGTACTAAATAATAATATGTTGAAAAGAGTATTCCAAAATTACCAGGGTGTTTAACTACTTTGTGATGCTCTGGGCTTATTTTTTAACAGCAGACAGTGCTCTAGGGTTAGCATTAAGCAACAGATGATGCTCTAGGGTTAGTTTTTAACAGCAGATGGCACTCTATGCTAGTTTTGAACAGCAGATGTCCCTCTAGGGTTACATTTTAAGAGCAAACGATTGTCTTGGCTAGTTTTTAACAGCGGGCAGTACTCTAGGCTTAGCTTTAAACAGCAGATGGTGCTCTAGTCTAGTTTTTAACATCAGATGGCACTCCAGGCTTAGTTTTTAACAGTAGATGGGGCTGTAGGCTTGGTTTTTAAGAGCAGACGTTGCTCTAGTGTTAGCTTTTAACAGCAGATGGCTTTCTAGGCTAGTTTTTAACACCAGATGGTGCCCCAGGTTTAGTTTTAACAGCAGACAGGGATCTAGGCTTGATTTTTAACAGCAGACGTTGCTCTAGGGTTAGCTTTAAACAACAAACAGTGCTCTAGGTTTAGCTTTTAACGGCAGATGGCGCTCTAGACTAGCTTTAAACAGCAGAGAGAGTTCTAGGGTAAGTTTTTAACAGCAGACAGGGCTCTAGGGTTAGTTTTTAACAGCAGATGGCACTCTATGCTAGTTTTTGACAGCAGACGGTCCTCTAGGGTTGGCTTTTAACAGCAGATGATGCCCTAGGTTACATTTTAAGAGCAGACGGTTGTCTTAGCTGGTTTTTAACAGCAGGCAGTACTCTAGGTTTAGCTTTAAACAGCAGATGTTGCTCTAGTCTAGTTTTTAACAACAGTCAGCACTCCAGGCTTAGTTTTTAACAGCAGTTGGGACTGTAGGCTTGGTTTTTAACAGCAGACGTTGCTCTAGGGTTAGCTTTAACCAACAGACAGTGCTCTAGGGTTAGCTTTTAACAGCAGATGGCGCTTTACACTAGCTTTAAAAAGCAGACAGTGCTCTAGGGTTAGCTATTAAGAGCAAATGGCGCTCTTTGCTATTTTTTAACATCAGACGGCCCTTTAGGGGTTAGCTTTTAACAGCAGATGGCGCTCTAGGCTACTTTTTAAGAGCAGGCGGTGCTCTATACTAGTTTTTAACAGCGGACGGCCCTCTAGGGTCAGCTTTTAACAGCAGATGATGCCCTAGGCTACTTTTTAACAGCAGGCGGTACTCTAGGTTTAGCTTTGAAGAGCAGATGGTGCTCTAGTCTAGTTTTTTAAAGCAGACAGTGCTTTAGTCTA